CAGTAAAGGGTAATAGTGCCAACTTGGAAGTGTTTCGCTATATTTTTAAGTGTTCTACCTATTCTACTGGTTTACGTAGCACCTGGCATTCACAGCTCTTTTCCGAGAAACGCACCCGCTGAAGGGGAATGTATCTGGTCGACTAGTGCGCATCATCTACTCGTGCAGCAGCAAATCCTGAAGGACATCTGTGCCATACTGGCAATAGACTTGGGATACAAAGCCTATCTTTTCATAACATCTGCTCAGTTGAGGCAGTTAATTGATTTTTTTCTAACTCGACCGTGTTTTTGAAAGTAGTAATTAACTGCTCTGACTGATTTCCTTTCTATAACATGGAAAACATTTTCAGGAAATCGAACCGCCGTGCAGGGCTTCCGCACACGTCCTCTTCTTCCAGCACAGACTGAGACGTTTTACCGCTACGAGGGAAGCCTCACCACTCCCAATTGTGACGAAGCCGTCATTTGGACCGTCCTTGCGGAACCGATCACGATAGCACGATCTCAGGTTATAACCAGTTTTCGAAGATATGGAGTAAATGGAGAAGGGTATTCAATCATTGAAGGCAAGTGGCGCGATAAATCCTCAAGACGTGTACGAATAATAAGCCTAGCAGGACAGCGTTCGGCACGTTTGAAGCGCTGCGTGGCGCCTTCTCCAAGGAACGTACCCTTATAGCGCCCTATCGAACATGCAACATATCGACACCGCGCCCGTCCGCCCACAATGTCCGACCGATGCTAATGCTCGTATGGCTTCATTTGCGAAGTACAATATGAAGCGAAGGGATTGATATGAAGCGGCTGCGGTGCTGCATGGATATATGAGCACATAAATGCAGCCGTATCTACCGTAGCTGTTACTTGGCACGATGCCAGCGGGAAACTCGTCCAAAGTTGCTTCCTGAGTCGTGTACAGCAAAGGCTTCTGCAGTGGTATTACCGTTTCACATCGCTTTTCGCTCTTTTCCTTCTATGTCTATTTTCCTTCTAGTGTCTTCCTCGCTACCATTTCAGACAGAGATACCAAACATCGTGCCTTATGCCTTTAGTTCCAGCCCATGTCGAGTCTGTGTGACACTGTCAATACATTCAGCCTCTAAATGTGGACTACAGAAAATCAAGTATTGAATATGCTTGCCTCTAGTGTTCCCAAAAATTTCTTGAGATGGCCGGTCCCACCTTATGCCGGGCAAATTCGTGCGCAGCACTCGTGCCAGAGGGATGGAATGAATGGTCGACCAAGGCGAAAGGCGATCTTTGATTTGACCCTCGACTGCCCGCGTGGTAAGCGGCGACACATGCCATTTATTTACTTCGTGTATAAATTGTTTATTTGTCAGCAGCTCCACCGATTCCGTCACCGCAAAGTTTTCCTAACAAGGGAACCCCAACAGGTCGATCCGGCCATTTGCAATGAGATGTATGTAAATGGACGTGTCTTGAGCCGCTGAATCCAAATCTGCCCTCGGAATTTGCGGAACGATTCTCTGAAGGGAGTTACGGACCATTTAATCTCTGCTCTGTTCGCACAAGTTGAGAACGATAACTGCATGCGGCAAGCGGCCGATGGCGTAGTGGATAGGCGCACTGCTTCAGAGACACAAGGTCGCATGTTGGAATCCTTGACTCTCGAAATTTTTGCTTTTATTCAAAACACTTCATATTAGTCTATAGAACCGACAATTTACCTAGTTCTCTCCTCAACGCCACCTTCGGGCACAACATTACGACAGAACAAGAAAGCAACAACTGGCTGTTTTTCGTGCGGAATGCCACGTGTTGGTAGATCATAATCATGGGTGCTGACCATATCGGGTAATTTTGCACAGAACACGTGGACAGGATTTCGTTCAAAATTAAAAAAATTCATCACCGCTTTCTCTCTGAACTGGTGGAGAACTGTAACTGTACCGTGTGTGGGAGTACTTCTGGCACTATTCAACTATTACTACCCCAAGGATCAAATTTTTTTCGCTGAAACTTTGCCCAGGGGTAGTTCGGTGTCCTGATCACGAATATAGCCTCTTTACGGCGCTCGCGCCAATTTGGCGCTGCCGCATTTCTCACCAAATTCGACGTAAAGTTGCATAGTAGGGTTATTTGATGTCCTGATCACGAATACCGCATTAGTTCTCAGCGATGGCGCCATTTGACGCCAATATGGCGCCGGCGCCTGTAGCGCGGGCTCTAGGTGGTTTCAGACCGAGCGGATGTGATATTCGTGTTCAGGAGGTCGAATTACCCCTAGAACTCAACTTTCAGCCAAATCTGCCCCGTAGAAAAAAGTCGATCCGGATCCGGCCTGTTTCCGGAAAGCTGTGCTCATCGTGGAGAGCTTGTTTTGTTTCCACCATTTCGTGGAGGAATACCACATGTGCTCTCAAACCATAAGATCTTCATTTCTTACTGCAAGCTTTAATAAACGGATATCCTCATAATAAAACTTCTTGAAAGGAAACAGAAAAGGCGAGTTGCTTGCTCCTGATGTCAAATAATTAAAGAACTAGGTAAATTGGCCAAACAGAAGTGTTTTAGGGACTCATATGAAGTGTTTTGAATAAAAGCAAAAATTTACGAGAGTCAAGGAATCCAACATGCGTGCCTCTGAAGCAGTGCGCTTATCCACTACGCCATCGGCCGCTTGACCGCATGCAGTTATCGTTCTCAACTTGTGCGAACAGAGCAGAGATTAAATGGTCCGTAACTCCCTTCAGAGAATCGTTCCGCAAATTCCGAGGGCAGATTTGGATTCAGCGGCTCAAGACACGTCCATATATACACCTCATTGCAAATGGCCGGATCGACCTGTTGGGGTTCCTTTGTAAGCTTGCGCCATGGAATGGATGATTGACCTCGTGTGATATTTGTCCGTTTCAACTATCCGGAAGCAGTACTGGTACAGTGGTATGTATCCCGCTCAACACACGCACGGTTAAGGATGCAAATCTCGGAGCAGCTCTCGTCCAGGCCAACCAAGCCTTCTACCCTCCGGGGACGGTGAATTGGTACCAGATCTGGGAGGATAAAACACTGACTTGTACATCGGCTGGCCCCCGCAAGTCATTGTATAGGCCACATCGCATTAAATAAGCCACTACTATTCAGTCGAGTGCGTGTCGCATCCCAAAAAGACACCTATCGACGACGGGGCTTTATAGCTTATTACTATATAGCATCGTCAGGCGGAACTCATCCAAGGGGGCATGTTCGGTAGCTGAACAAGGTGGGGGGCATTCAGGCTCAGGCGAAATTTTTCACAGCCTCAATGTATTTTCGTTTCACGTCCGCTATACACCGGATGGAAAAATATTGGAAAATTTCGGTGGTAATTAAGGGGTCGTAAAGGCACCATCTCTCCACTAATCGTGCTGGAGTACCCTAGACCATGTACTTTATCGACTTTTTGGTCCCTTGCAGGCGGGTAACCCTAATTTTTGATTTGTTTGTTGTAGACACTTCGAGTTCACAGAACTCCTCGTTCGCAGTAGGTGTGCCTCCTTCATCTCGTCGGCCGTCGTTCTTTTCGTCCTGTTCATTCGCTCGCGTAGTGCAGTACGCCCAGCCCAATATGGGCGAGTCTCCTATACTTCATGCGTCTTCCGTTTTTCTTCCCCTCTCCGGGCTCTTCTGGAACCCAATTATGAGTTTTTGAAATAAGTATAATAGCTCTTAACTGTGTTGACCCGGCCCCCTCAAACTGGGTCTTCATTTGATGGCGAATTTCCGAAAGGACGGACAGACGGACAGACAGACAGACAGCCAGCCAGACATACAGACAGACAGACGTTGCCATTTATAATATAGTGGTATATAAGGACACACCGCATTACAATACTCCCAATGAATTTGTTTCCTTCATCAGTGTTCGATTCTAATCCATTTCTATTTTTAATCATCGTAAACATATTTAATTTAGATGAAGCAACTACGCCAAATTCAACTATCAGACGGCGGACGGCATTCGTTCAATTATCGACCTGTCCAACCATTAAATGGTAGACGGATACTGTATAGACCAAATTCATTCGATAAAACCTTGCTCTGCGGAAGTGGACGAGCTCTTTCTATTTTGACTAGTTTGCTTTTAGTAGTTCTATCTTATCTTCTATAATTTTCTCAGAATTTGAACCATTGAATCAGGAGCTTGATGAGGAGTTATATCATTCTCACTCCGACTGTCATTTGGTGGTAGCAGCAGAATGTGGATGTTCCTTTCGCTGCAGACGTCGATCATGTCAGGGAGGTTGAGTTTGGCGTGGCACCAAGCCGTTCTCCGCCTTTTTTCAAAGCGAGCAGGCGACAATGATTGGTGTAGAGCGGATCGGCGTCACGTCAAACACCGCCCTTTCACATGCCGCAACCTTTCTAGAGAAAACGGCTCAAAGGCACGCACAAGTGTACTTTGCATGTTCCGCCCTATCAGTAATTGACACTCGGAGTGGATGCAGATGTAGATAATTTCTGCAAATGGGAGCAGTACCTACAAGAAGGCTGTTAATTACTATTAGTACTCATAAGAAAGGAAAGTGAATCTTCCTACTCCTGGCTAACAGCCTATACCTGGCACTATACACACCATATCCAGGAGATGGGAAGGGCGTGGCTGCGTTCTTCATTGAACATGGCCTACTATGAGTTCTTCGTTGGATATGTCCTTTTACCGCGATTGCCATCCTGTTTCTTCTGGCCGATTGATTGATTACAGTGGTCCCGAAGCTCTATTATCCCACCAGGAGCCGAGCCGTCGCCACGTACCAGTGAAGCACGCAGTCACGCCCACTCCATATCCGGACAATGGAGTGTAAACGGTCATGGCATAGTCCTGCTTTCCCAGACTGTATAAGAAATCGATCTTCCATGAACTGAAAGTGGAGGTTGAGGCTCTACGTGCCTTAGGGAGCACTCTCCTTAGGGCACATGGCCACATCATAATTCGACGCGAGAATGCCACGCTGTATAGGCGAGAGGGTGCAGACGAACAGAGATGACGTGGCCGGCCTCTTTTGGATGGTGCCTATATGGAAGTGAACAGCGCCGAATTTACAGTTAAATCCAGTGGATACTGCTCCCATATTCTAGTTGCCGTGCCATGTTATGATTTCTGTCGCATTTTGTTTCATGTGTATTTAACGTCGAGCTCTTTTTGGATATCTGATCTCATTATGCGATGAAACTTACAAGCTGTGACGTCAAAGCAGTTTATTTTTTAACTGAAATAAAAAATGAAAGAGAAAGCATGTACCAAACATTTGGAAGCATATAAATAATATCGAGTGAATAATATGAGATGTACGTTTCTGACTAGAAACAATATGGCAAGAAGAGAAGAGATGACCAGAAGAAGGATGATGCACATAATAGCCAACCAGCGTATTTGAACTGTCAAACTGTAGTGACATGCGGTCATATTCGGGCAGAAAAGCTGCTGGCTGCTCTGATGGCAGTGCTGTGGAGTCGAGTGTAGTCTAGCATATCCGAGACGAGAGCGCTGAAGAAGCGTTGCACGAGAGTCGCATGCGCGGCATTCGCTCCAGGACCCAATGCTGAATGTGACAATGCGTCGGCTAGCCAGAAAGGACTGCTACTTTGCCACTCGGATATTTAAACTGCACCACTCAAAGTCTGAGGCTTAGCTCACACTTTGCGGCAGCGTCCACTAGCGTCTCCCAGCTTCCACCAGCGTCTACCAGTAACGACTAGCGTTCCGAGGGTCCGGCAGCGTCAGCGACTAGGAAAGTATGAATGTCGACTGGCGTCTCACAACGTCTGCCAGCGTCTACTAGCTAGCATCCATCAGCGTTCATCCGCTATCCGGAGTGGAGAGTACGCAAAAGTAGAACGGTAGCAAACAGCTGGGAATGGCGGCGTGTGCAAGCGCACCGTACAACTACACTACACAGTACATGAATTGCATAATTCTGTGCTTTAGCTGTTGTGCGGTGCGGTTGCACACGCCGCAATTTCACGACGCCTAATCCGGCTGTTGCTATCCTTCTACTTTCCGATGGTCTATGTTTCGGTCGCTGATGAGCGCTGGCGGATGCTGGTAGACGCTAACAGACGCTAGTTTGTTACCTGTACTTCCCTAGCCCTCGGGACGTGGGCAGACACCGGATCACTATCCATGTTTTCCTGGCCGCTGACGCTGCTCGACGCTCGGAACGCTAGTGGTCGCTCATGAATGCTGGTAGACGCTGGTGGACGCTGCTGCGAAGTATGCACGCAGCCTAAGCAAGTTGCCCGGCTACGAATGAGGTAGATTCACGTGAAGGGAACAAAGGAAGAAGATGGCAACGCTGGGCTCATTAAATGAACTCGCTTGTCAATAAACGCTGCGCCTGTTCTATAGCCTTGTTCGCTGCAGATGACTGGGCGTGTCAGTGAGGTTGGATATGACGCCTCGTCGATTGATACGAACCATATGATACAGCCTGTCGCTTGCCGAAAGGAAAAGGAGCACATCCGGGCTGGCTAGCGCTAAACACATCCCCTGACACGCCCCCTCATCCGCAGCGAAGAAGGCTATAAATAAGCAGCCGGCCACGAATCCGCCGAATATGACTACAGCCGTAAAAACCGAAGGATACAAGTGATGCATGCGCATTAATCAGCACGAATAAATACTAAAATCCAGCCGATAAATAAATCTAAGAGCGCACTGAATTCGCATACAAATTCCTAACTTCGTATGATGTCACTAATAATCTGATGCCAAAACATGTCAGTAATGTCGAAGCCCTACTTGTACTACTCTAAGGATTGCCACAATTAGGCATTGACTGTCGACAACGTGACGCCAAATTCGTGAACCTATACAGATTTTGATGCAAACGTAGATGCGGGGAGGCCAGGCGGCTAGCCCCGCTCTGCGAAGCTAGGCCGCAGCGACTCTGGTTGTCTGCGCTCTGCCAAGTCTGAGCCTTGTGGTCCCTTCAACTGCGTTTGCATCCGAATTTTGATTAAAATTTGAACGCTATCCAAGCATACTAGGGAATTTTTGTACAATGCGTTCAGTTGCTTTTGAATGCACGACACTGGGCACTAGAAAAGCTCCGCCCAAACATAAGGAGCGGAATAGGAGTTTTTGGACGAGTTTTTGCCCAAGAAAAAGTTCTTTTGAACTATTGCATCAAAATACCCGGCTGCTGGAATAGCGCCAAAAAGATTACTAAATTCCATGAACTGAAATTTAAATGTGATAAAATGGCATCGTCATAATTACGCGTTAACATTCTTGAGCGTTGAAGGTTAGTTGCAGTAAAAAAATTTTAAGCCAGAACATCCGTTCCAGCATAGGGATATGTGATAATATGTGACACCTCAGCAATAATATAGATAAGCAGGATACAGGACAACTGTCACAAAAAGCGCACAAAGTCAACCTGGTCATGAACGGTGCTGAAGTGATCCAACTATTCAAGAAGTATTACTTCTGGATACCAGTTTTCCGGGTCTAACGGCCTTACGTGAATTGAAAATACGTGCTCTGCATATGATAGAGTTTTTCGATGGGATTCTCTGGATAAGATTTTTCAGGTTGTTCAATGTCTAGATCGTCGCAATCGGAGCAGTTTTCTGGAAATGGTAGATTTTTGACATTTCGTAATATTTATGAAATTGAATGGAAAAACGGCGCTCACCTTCATCCGAACTCTTCTCCCCTTCGATACTTTTACCTTCTGAATCAAGAGCACTTGATCCACGCTTGCTTTCTTCTTTTCGTTGCATCTTCTTCATCTGGAATAGACGGTGTTGTCCAATTCATATCTCAAGATATGAGGGGTGTGTCCGCGGACTGAGCTTGAGCGTGATTGCCACTGCGTGTCTGTAGAAGGTTGCCTATTCAAGCGGAAGAAAAGCTAAAGAAGGAGCAGCGTCTCCTTGTGCCTATTCTCTCTTTTGCACCCGCTCTCTATGTGTCCGCCCACACCGGCAAATGTCCACAGCTGCTGGGCTCATGAGCTAAGTCCATAGAAACTCCCCCTCTAACGCCAAGATACGGACTGTAAGATCGTTGCTCAAAAAACAAAGGGATAAAGAATGGTCGAAACGGTAACGAAGTCAGACAGAGAAAAATTCCATCATATCTTACCTTGGCTCTCTGATTCTGGAACCATACCTGGACAACACGAACACTCAGTCCGGTCTCCTTGGCAAGTTGTTCTCGAATCTGAAAAGAGAAAGACAGACTAGAAAACGGGAAAGAGGAAAGGAAAAAAATGTCACGAAGGAGAATTATATCGGAACGCAGAGGCGGCTCTGGTCCTGCTCACTCTATGCGCCAAGAAACTCGCCCTACCAAACAAAAGTGAAATGAGCCGTTGAGGGCATACGGTATGCGGCACTGATCTTCCCTAGAGGTGAACGCTACATGCCTATAATAGAATCGTAGAGACATTTGAATGCTTAATTAGCCCAGGCAGTGGTGACTTACAAGTGAAAATCAGCTTAAATACTCGAATGCAGGTACCAGTCTACCTATTCCAGAGCAAACGAGGGTTTGATCCCTCTGAGCAGACGCGAATCGATAGAGAGGGCGCCTGCTCTTAGCCACTACGCTGTCTTCGAATTAATTATGAGTTGTAATTAACCTAACAGCTCACTGCATAATTTTCTTGCCGACGTTCACGCTCTAAAGATCCACGGAGACCGTGAAAAACCCTAAAAACTACCGGAACCTTTCGCTCCATGGACACCGGTGCTTGCCTGGCATGGGCAAGGTGAATGGGATTACATCTGCAGTGGTGTGCCTCACTGTTGCTGTTGCGTGCACGGGAGCGAGGCTGAAAGGAAGCGATACTCAGGCACCGTCTCCCGACTCCGCCCACAGTGCCGCACGGCCAGCCACATGCCTAAACATAAGCAGATGCTCTACTTGTCTGCGCTCTGCCACTCGTGGTTGTTCTACCTCTGACTGCGTGTTCTCAGCAGGACTTCGCCATCGACGCAAATGCTACATCTAGAGGGTGGCGCGGACGGATGATTGTCTTCATCAAGAAAAAAAAGGGATGGAAAACACTGAAAGTAAAACAAATTGAGACAACTATTACCTTTCTACAGGGCTTTGCACTCTTCTCAAAAGCTGCTTTGAACTGCTTTCTTTGGGTAGCGTTCAAGATGGTTCGGGGTCGTTTAGGTGTCTTCCGGCTCGATTCAGATGATTCGAAGTCGAACAAAACTGGAGCTCCGGTCACTGAATCGTGTAGTTTTTTCCAAGTCATTAATTTGTGGTTACACATATATTTACTATATAGCAAAGGTACAGCCATGCAAACATTCCTGAGACCTCTTGAAATGTAAAAACAAACGCAAGAGATAATATTGTTAGGCTGGAAAGAACCCCCTGTCAGCGTTTCATGAATAGCTTACAGGTTTCAATTCTTGATGCCCGAACATAATGTGCTGTGCTTGTAGTATACTCTCGGAGCTTTTCCGCAAGAGGTACTGAAGACGCCTGCTCTTCCTCTGGTCTAACTGCAATGTGAATTTCACAGGAGCATCTTCGGGCCATTATCTTCTATGAGTGGCTCCGCGGCAATGGACGGCAGCTGTCCGCAACCATTACCATCAGGCCTGCTCACCACTGGTTTGTTCACGAAAGAAGACACAATCTTTTAGGACTCACCTCGGTTGGGACGCCCCCCAGGAAGTGGATGACTCTACCGCTCTCGAACCTGTCGAAGAGGATCGGGAGGCTACCATTCACAGTCTTGCGACAAGACTCGGATGTACCTAACTTGGAGCCGTCAACGTCAATTGTAAGCCTTCAGCTACCGAAAAAAGCTGGCTCGGTGGATCCCACATACCTTGGCGAGTGACACCGATACATCAGGATACCCACTTGCCACTCTCCCCCCCCCCCTCTGAGGCCTCATCAGAAGGAGGTCCTGGGAGACTGATCAATGGAGATAAAAGATGGGTTCTCTATGATTTCAATCCACACAACAATGTGTGTCTCTCTCAAGGAAAGGACCCATCCTAGCACTCCAATGCATGCATTCCGAGATATGTCCCCTATGCTGCTTCTGGGACGCGAGCGGAATGCTGCACAACGAGCTGCCCATGTGAGAACCACGGTCACCGCGACCATTCATGCCGCTACGCTCCAAAAACCCATGGAAACTGATAGAGAAAAATGACCGAGGCTATGACTGCTACCTGTTCCGCCCCTCAGGACTTTCCTAGCTAAGAAAACGTCAGCAGTATGATGACACAAGCCGAGAGGGTGCTGACTTGTTTGACTCGCACCCTCCCATCTGGGAGAAGGGGATCGCTAACCTGCCCATTATTCGATTGGATTGAGTTCTAATCAATGTTGAGCTTGAAGTTGAATAAGAAAAAAAAATCGCAACGGTGACAGTACTTATTTGCTGCCTAATATTACTGATTTTTCACATTATAAACAATTTGCTAGTATGTTTTGCAGGTAAACAACTTTTTTTCTCACTTGTATGTATATGATTTTGCAGCAGCATATGGTAGTCTTTTCGACAGACGATTTCTCCTTCGACGATCAAATATTCGTCCCCCTGAAATAATGACGAGCATTTATTTTGGCGTCGACGATACGGTGCATGGTGCATGATGTATAGTGTCATGTATCTTCAATTATTCATTACTTTTGACAAAATCAACTCGAATGCTGTTTCTGTAACAGTCAAAACAACACAGCAGATGCCGCTTACTCATACCTTTTTAAACTGTACATGACAATAAAAGCATGAAAAGCACTGCTGATGATACGTGGCATGTTGACAGCGGAACACCAAATCACGCGATGCCAACGCACCATGGCATCGAGCACAAAATCGACCGAACAATCTGAAAAAATACGCCACTAATTCTCGTCAATCGATTCAATGGGTGGTCTGCATTGAGAACGTTTAATTTGACCCAGGCATTTTTCATGGAAAATGCTATACATCGACAAATATTACTGTCACATTTGATTTAGTAAACATTTAGAGAGTAGCGAACAACACGAAGGGCATCCTGCTCGTTGCCTTCATTTCTTCTCCAATTCAAGGCAACCTTCACATCCTTCGCCGCGATCAAGGTTCCTGCCATGTGCGAGGTAAGTAGGTCCGCAGCTGCAGTAGCGTGCCACTTTCTCCGCCCAAAAGAGCGCAGGAATGGGGCTGGAGGATAGTGATACCCGAGGGTATGTGACAAGAGAATCGTAATTCGCCGCGCTGGTGGCGTCGCGTGCGACGTCGCGCCCGCAAATGACGATGGTTCCAGGTAGTAGATGGCGACAACAGGCAATTCAGAACCGAAAATAGTCATGAATGTCTACGATGACGGGGTCTACATGAAGTCCGGTGCTCCAGTCGACAGGTTAACACGAGTTAAGAAAACGCGCCCCATCGCCGCGCGCGGCGGAGCGGCAAATCACGATTCTCTTCTACGTCTCCCGATACCCGGGTGAGGTATCCTAACTCTGCCCGTGCAGCTGCGTAGCCAGCCAATCATAGCTAAGCGCCCTCTTGTGTGCGTCCTCTCCTTCTGGCTGTTGTCTACTCCTGACTGCATATTCGCTGCTGCATTTTAGCATGGGGGCAAGTTGTGCACCATGCGAATAGCGCGGGCTATGTCGTGGGACGGAACCCCGTGTAATATCCCCTAGCCCAGCTCCCCTGCACCTTTCAGAGGAGAAAGTGGCTACGCTGCTGATTCGACAGAAATCGAAGCTCTGTTGGGCTGGACACTTCGCACGATTTTGGGATGAGCGTTAGGTCAGCTCTGCTGTGAGGTGCATAGCTCGGGACGTCAAACACGCGCTAGGATAAGCGCGGGCCCAGTGGTTCTCCCAGTAGTCATCTACTCCTGCACTCAAGGAGTGAGTCCTTAGATGTTCCTCGAGAAAAGTAGCTTTCCTCGAGAGAGTGCAGTTTTGTTTCTTAAGGATGATGGGGCGTACCAGGAAGACGGGTTTGGCGCGGCGCCGGCTCGCTTCTTTCCCATTCTTTTTTCTTTCGGCAAGCGATAAGTCTGTATCGTATCGTTGGCGTCAGTGGTTCCACCAAAAGTTGACGCTCACTCGCTTCAACAGCCGCTGCAGAACATTGGCGGCAAGCCAAAGCCAAGTTCGCTGACACGCCCCATTGTCCACAGCGAACAGGACTGTAATCTAGTTGGATTTGACTTCCATTTCCCATCCACTGCATATCTGCATAAGGTTGCGTTGCAGTTGGGTTCCTAATGTTCATGGTGGCCAAGGTTGCCGTTATAAGGGGGATTTTCAGGCCACTTAGCGCTTTTTCGAAGCCATTTGTATCATTTCAAGGGAGAGTGGGAATAAGGGTGAACCAAAGAAGTACAGTTTGTTTTTCCTGTGCGACTCTATGGAATGCCAAGAAGGGATGAAGCTAAAAGGCTAAAAGCTAAGCTGTGCTATTGAATGGCGAACTCGGCTAAAGAAGAGCTCTACTTTTCGGTAAAGGATTCGGGCTGTTTTAGGACCCGTTCATTTTTTACAGAGGGAAAATCCTGATATATACGATTGCAAGGAAACAAAGCTTACAAGTTGCAAAACTTTGACATCACGGGAATTCGAACCATTCGAGCTACTGTTCACCCTTTTTGGCATCCCAGATGCGCGGCGAGAAAACGCTCCACCTCTGTGTACAGTTGGTATCATCGTGATTAGGCGGTGCGGTTTCAGGAGGGCTGGAATGAGCCTATTGGCGGCCTGCCACTGATTTTTTTCCTACTAAATCGATCGCTCACCGATCACTATTGGCAGAGCGAGGCACCAGGGAAGATCACTCCGCCCCTTCTTACACCGCCCCGACTGATTGCAACGTTATCAACTGTATGTTCCCTACTGCATGCAACAAGTTATTTGGAGAAAGCGCTCCGTGACCTGACTATCCCTTGGTGGCTGCAGCAAAAGCTAAAAGGGCTAGACAATCAGAGCACCTGTTTTCTCTGTAGTGTGAGGGGGTATTCATACAGCCCATGTCTCCTTCTTACTCATCTATTTCCTGGAGTGAGCTAGAGCTAAAATAAGTTGGCCTATGCTCCTAAAGACGTCGACTACGGTGTAGATCGGGGATGTCCAATGTCCTTGCCGAGGAATATTGGTTAAATTGAAAATACGGGTGACAAGTGATGCTCAGCTGCCAGGTCGTCCAGTGCACATGCGAAGATCGATGACGGCAAGGACTGCCGTTCTCAAAGATGAGCATTACCGTACCTAACGCTCATCTCAGCCCTCCAATAATCCGCGAAATTTCGTTCGACCATGACATATCGGCGATGGCGTATTTTGTAATGCCACACGCGAAAGTCAGATTTGCTATTTATAAAATTTAGGCATTTATATCGGTTGTATCTAATTACAGCACA